GTGCACGTGCACATACACACTATTCTTCAAAACAGTTGTCCATTTTACTTTCTGGCCGCCCAAAATAACCCAACCAACCAAACTTTAAAATCAATAACCGGCAGGACCAGAGTGGTCCGCAGTCAAGAAAGGTGCACAACAAGGATGTGAACTATCACCTCATCTATTCCAGATTCTAGTGTTGAGAATATTATCAAAAATTAAATTTTAGATTGAATGCATGAGTAGGTGAATGAATATGGTATCAAGCATACCCAGTCTACTGAGAAAACAGCCTTGAGAAGAACAAAGCAACCATCTACAAGAAGATAAGGAGCAAGCAGACACCTTGTCTCCCTGGTCTTAGGATGTTGTAAAACTAAAGTAACTCCTTACCATCCATCTTACCATCTGCATGTCTAAGCCATGAGGTATGTGACTAGAGCTAGGTCAACAGCAACAAGGTGACTGGCTAAACGGGTTGTAAGGGGCACTGCAGTAAAGTCTGTCTAAACTAAGTATAAAAGGATAGTGAAGACCAGGCCCCAACGATGTTGTATGCCACCCACATCAACTAGGAAGAAAATTACCGGCGTCCCTCCCATAAGATCATCATGTCCAGAGGCACCACGACTGGCCATCGTGACTGAACCCAAGCACCAGTGGATTGGCCTGTGTGTAGGTGTGTGAGAGTTTGAATGGTTTTAGATAAAGAATTGCTTTTCCCCCACTTGATCCGTGTGTGTCACTCAATAGAGATCTTGGTTGCTGAACCCATGCATTGGTCTTTTGTCCAACACTAGCAGACAGGGTAATGAGGGAAGTATTGTAATGGCCTAAAGATATGCAGCAAGTTGATGAATAATTTGAGGTATGCAGAAGATATCATCTTCATTGCCTTTATCATCTGAGGAATTGCAGAATTTGGTTAAGAGGCAATATTTCTTACAGTGTTATCTTTTACTGAACCAATTATATATTAGTTGGGATCAGGTCAGGGAAGCTTTTGGAATGCAAGACATTCTTCCTCAGGTCTGAAGATCTGGTTAATAAATTGCATACAATAAGGGGGGGGGGAAACGAGTACAGACTGTCAATTGATTTCTCAAAATACAAAAACAAATAGCCATAACAAAACAGTCATGATTTGATGATCCTGGAGAAGGAAAAACCTGAATGGATTAAACAGTTTTTTGTACCTAGGCTCAGCTGGATTAAGGTAGTTCTTGCTATGCCTAATTTTCTTCAAATATTCTGTTTATATGAACTGTCCTGGTAAGCATATCAAGGACCTGGAAAAACAGAGGGGTCATCCTGAACAAAAGACTTCATATACAAGTCATATGTTATATGGATAGAAGCCATGTTTGCAAAAGCTGGACCTTGAATAAGAGAAATTCAGAGACTAAGAGCATTTGAAATACGATCCCTTATCAAAAACTCTAAGCACATCAAAAAAAAAAAAATAAGGTGGGGTGGGGGGAGTGGAGGGAAAGGGTTAGAGAAAAAAGGCATAGCAGAATATTTTTTAATCACCTCAATGAAAACTGGCATAGCAGAATATTTTTTAATCACCTCAATTAAAAAGAAAAGTTAAAATGCTTTGGGCATGTGGTTAGAGAAAGGGATTTAATTCAAGGATGTGTGACAGGAAGGAGCAGAGCATGGATAAGTTATGGACAAAACTGGGAATCAGTCACACAATAAGATTAGCAAATAAGTAACAACATTAGAGAGATCCTGCTTACCATAATAACCAACCTTGAAATAAGGGGAGTTGAACAACAACTTTAGATCTAAATAACCCATTTTTGGCATAGTTTTCCATTATACCAGATTCCAAGGAAATCCACTTGGGTTCTATGGAAACTATCAAAATTGATCCGTCTAAAATGTTGATGAAGGGGCAGTGAAATTCCAGTTGAAAAATTGGAATCCCAATGAAAAATGTCTAGGATTATTCCCATCTGGCTCTAACATGAGGTGGTTTTTTGCCCACGATATTCTATTGCCATGATGACAGGAACAATATTAATGACCAACATAAGTATTTTAGAGGTTCCAATCCCTTGCTGCTCTTGCATACTGGCAGTTTATTTCTATGCAACTTAATTATTACCAAATCCCTTGCCACCCAGGTGTGGTTTTCCGATAGAGTTCCTGTATCATTGTGTGGTCATCAGACGGAGATAGAAGCAAGATTAAGTTAAAAACATGCTTTTAGAGGAGACAAATACCCCTTTATTCCATAACTGAATGATTTCTGAGGTCTCTTTGTGAATGTAATAGCCACCAGATGGCTTTTGTTCTTTAATTTGATGACAAGATTGTTCTAAATCGAGTGCTGTGGAGGTGTTGAAACATAGAATTTTAATGTTTTGGAGAAGGAACCAACATTTTTGATACGGGCTATTTTATCACATTAAATACTTTAATAAACGTATGTGTATGATTTACTAACAACCAATTTTCAGGAGACAGCTTTCAAATGCTCTTGCTCTAGGAAAACCTCATACAGTAGCTTTCTTTTTTCTTTTATCCTAGGTAGGGTGATTTGGCTCTGTAAAGACAATGCATTTCACAGGCTTCTTGGATTCGAGACAGTCTTCTTCAATACTCTAGAGAGCACTACCACCACCCTGGGTACTCCGTAAGCACAAGTGAAACAGAATTTCTCTCATTATTAGTGTAGCCATAAGTTCAGGATACCCCAAAGGACCCCAATCAAAGCCCAAAGAGCATTTCTCAAATGGTTAAAAAGACAAAACAAAACAGGGAAATGTTCTGTCTGGAACAACCTCTCTTGACCCGTACCAAATAAAGAACAATAATTTTTACAAAGCTTAAGCATTAAATGTTTCAGCTCTCTCATAAGTAGAAATACAGAACTATAAAATGAGTGCCCATATGACAGAAAGAATAGGATTAAACTACTGGAGCGCCCTGGGCATAGCACAGGTAGGACATGGCCTACCTTCCATAAAGGGGTAACAGACTGTGAACAGTACATATACCAGATAAGCCAAGAGTCAGGACAGGAGCCTGGACAGACCAATGGAAACCTCAAAGCATATGGGCCCTGCCTTGTAGGACTGACAGATCTGTGAAACCCATTAAAAAGTCTTTAGATTTCCTCCTATCCCACTTGAATCTAAGTAATCCAGTGTTATAGGAAGCATCTTTTGATCTGTCTTATCATTCAAGGCTGTCATTTCCTTGACTTCCGTATAGAGAATACCTGATGCTTGTTCAGCACTCACTGGCAGATTGAGTTGGCAGAAATGTCAGCCTCTTCCAAGACTAATGTTAGAAACATTCTTTGATCAGTTGTCAGAGACTACAACCAAAACCTCTCCTAAAGAGACAGCAACACAGCTTATAACAGCGCACTCTTATCCAGCCTTAAAAGCTTTTAAATGCATTCCAAAACCCAGTCTAGCATGGCAAAGGAAAGCAAAAACGTCCAGACACAGCAAATTCTAACCTATGACATATGAACTGCCATGCTCTCAAAACAGACCCAGCCACAGGATGTGTGCACAATTATAAGTGAAGCCTCTAAACTAAGGTAGCACTGCCACCCTTAGACACACTACCAGTATTGCATCTTCCACTGAAATGATAACTGTTCAAAACACAAAAGCAGAGAAAAACAAATTCTTAGTCTTCATTAATTTTAGGTAGACAATCAATGAAAGATCAAAATAATATCCTAAAAGATAAATACTGCTATTCCCAAGTTTTCTAGGAATTAGTGCTTAATTCTGCAGAAATAAAGTTTATGCTAAGGCACTTCAGTAGTTAGCAAGAGGGATGGTGAGTCAGGAGTATTCATGGTATATCTATATATAGATATAAAAATAAAAATGCATCATACTTTTCAGAAGTCAAATCCTACATTCCTAGCTGCCTACGTAGGGGTGTTATCAGAATTAACATGTTATAGGAGTTTCAAATACTCAAAATAAGCTAGTCATGCAAAAAGTCATCATTATAATATTCTACTTATGAAGAGATTAACAGAAACTATCAGATTGAGGTTTAGTCCATATAAAAAAAGTAAAAAAAGTAAGGACAAGTTTAGCACTTCCAATTAATCCTGCCCCCTAACCCCCACCCCATCACAGGGAGTCAGCTTGAGTGTTTCTGCTGATGGCTGCTCTGAAGTGCAACCCTGAGAGGCAATCCCTCAGGCAGACATGTCCCAAGCCATTAAAGGATTTTATAGATCAAAACCAACCCCATAAACTCTACCAGGAGATGGTCTGGCCGCTACTGCAGGTCCCACATCTCAGCACAGGTGTCAAGTGCTCATAGTGGGAGGCCCTGTTAAATAAGCGAGCTGCTGTATTCTATGCCCCTCAGTTCCCAAATGGCTATATAGTATCAGAGTGACTTATTATCTAGTCCTGAGATGAAAAGCTGTTTGATCAGGGTTGTCGGAAAAAAAGGTTGCAGTCACCAAGCTAGTCATAGTTGGTGAAAGTCATCTTGGTTACTGTTATAATATTCCAGGTTGCTGTTACAGATGTTGAATATGACTAACTATGCAGAGAAACTGTAAAACTAACATAAGGGTTATCAAATGCACAAACTGAACTAAAGATTTTTTTTCTGAGATTCCTCTTAGTTTTAGGATTAGGACAGAATATTCCTATTTACATTTGATAGAAGGGTCACCTTTAAATTTGAGTGTACAGTTTTTACATTTCAATCTGTGATGAAAAATATATTAATAATAATTTGTCCAACATGAGTTTAAATAGTCAAGATGTCAACTCTTAAAGGTTTGAGGGGGGGAACTAGAATGTAAAAATGTCAGCAGTCCTGCCACCTAGTGCAAGGCTCAGATTAATCTAAAGGGAATGAGAACCTGTGCGTCATTTATAAAGATCTTCGTTTCCCAGAACACTGCTGAAGGAAATAAAAGACTTATTCATGCTGTATTCCATCAACTGAAAGAAATCTCATTTGAATGAAAGAAATAGCTAGATTATTTAAAAAGACAATGAAGATCATACCTTTGGTAGAATATGCTTCAGCAATCATCCGCAGCCTATAAGGTGGTACAGCAACTAGTTGCAAGTCATCAACTCCAATCCTGGCATATATGTTAAGAGCTTCTTTGTAGTCACCTTCCACATAGTTTAACTTGGCCATAGTTAAGTTGGCTTCTTGTAAGAATTCTGGCTAGAAAGAAAAAGATTAATTATAAGTTTTTCCCCATTGATCTGCATCCTAGTAGTTTCCAATGCACTGTAGAAACCTCTTCAGCAAAATCTTCTAATTCACAGACTAGGGTCCCTATTATTTTGCCAAAATATTTTTTACAAGGAAAAATAAAAATTAACAAAATGAAGAGACTTTTTTTCTTTCAGTAAGGTGAACAAGAAAGTCAACTTCACTCCCCTGAAAAAGGAACCATCATCAACCTACAGAACACAAATTATATCATCATTAAACACTGGTCACATTGCACCTGAAAAGGGTTATCTGTATTATGTAAACACTCAGGAACTTGTTTGAGTCAAGATCCTCTCCTGCCACATGGCACATGCTATTTTCCCACTTCTCCTTTTACAACACATTAGCATCTAACATTGTCACCCCCAAGTCTTTAATCCAACATGACAAGCAGAGGGAGACGATTCTGCCAATGTTTGATTTTAACCAAAATGTATGTATAACACGTAAGTGCCTTAGGAATCTCTTCCCTCCCACCTCCTGTTCCCCAAACTGTTTCTCAGCTTAATAATTTTGATTTAGCATATTTCTTGTAAACACCATGTGAGAAGAGTCCTCAAAAAGGATTCATTGAGAGAGTGCTAAGTTATCTCCTGAGTCCAGGGAGGACGTGCCATGCAAGTTACAGAGATGGCAGTAGAGGACAAAAAAGAGGCGTGAGCCTGATAAAGAGAGCAGACTATGCAGCCTGCAACTGTGGTTATGTAGAGAAAGGCAGAGTTATCAAAAACCTGAAAAAAAAAAAGAGGAGAAATATCCAACATCCAACAGCAAACTGTAAAACAGACAATGCATTTCATCTGAACAGCAAAAGACTAGGCAGAATAGGCTCCAACTAGACTCAAGGATAAAACTTCTTATATGGTTGTCCTCCAAAACAGGAGAAGTCTGCAGTGTTGAATATATACAATAAAGTATTAAGAAAATAAAGCTAATGGGGAAGGAGATACCACAAGGCTGGTCTCAAAAACGTATGTGAAGGGCTTTGACAGTCAAATGCAAAAGGGCTACAGAAATGCAAAGTTATTAGTCCTTGCAATAATGTATTTACATGGAGAGATGCTGGTAATAAATAATGTCTCTCATAGGTACATTTAAAGTTATGATTTAAACATTCCCGAGGCCAAGTTTCTTTTACTATTTCTTTAAAATGGGGGTTGTCAACCAGAGGTACAAGGGAAGGCTCCAGGGGGTACCGGCAGCAGCACAGAGAAGCAGGGCCGCCAGCACTTTGCGTTTTTGTTTTCACCGGCACCACGCGGCGCCGACACTTCCAGTTTTGCTAGCGCATGGGGGACCTGCCCCCCCCCCGGTTGTCGACTGGCCACCAGGGACACTCTAAAACCCCTGTTTTAAAATTGACACAGAAAACTGGACCAAATAAAGGGTGGGGGGAGAAGGAATAAAAGAGGAAAACCTGTAAAGACTGAAGGTACTAAATCTCAAGATATTAAAATATTCTGGAAACAGACTTGTTCAGTAAAAAAAAAAAAACAACTTCCCCCCAGCCTCAGAAAATTTCACTCTTCAATTACGTTCTAATTAATCCTTAATTTTTCTTTGAAACGTCTGTAAATACCTTTAAGTTTCCTCTGTCAAGAGCTGCAGTGAGATGTTTTCTAACCTCAGTCAGTTTTGGCCGGGGACCCTGGGGACTAGTGCCCTGTTTAAGAGGATTTTCCTTCAGGAACTGTTCTAATTTGGACTCTCCAAAGAGAAGCTCTGCCATGTCATCTATAAAAGAAAGAGAGGAAACAGTTATTGGGTATTGGGGGGTGGCAATCTTCATAAAAATTAGCAGCCACTTTATCCCACTATATCCAATGTTTAATGCAGATTCCACAGCAAGCAAACAGCAATGCAGTAAGTTATTTTAGGTTTGGACGTCAGAATGCCAAACAATTATCAAATATCTATCATTATATTAAATGTAGCGCATGTTATAATCATGGCTTAGAGCAGGAGTGGACAAAATACAGCCTGCAGGCCAAATCTGGCCTACAGTGGATCCTTTGGTCCCATCTGGCCACGACACTGCCTGGCTGTGGCGTGTCCTGCCAGGGCTACAGCAGCTGGACTGCCTTTCTAGGCAGCCCAGGTGGCGGTAGCTCCTTCTGGCTGCTGCTGCCACTGCTAGCCCCAAGCCCACGGTCCCAATAGGGACCATGCACAAAGCACCGACCTGGCGCAGAAACTGTTGCTTGGCAAGGGGGAAAACTCGCCAGGCAGTTCTTGCTGCAGCTGCACGGAGCCCACACCACGCCCGGCCGCCCTGCATCTCCGCCACCCGGGCTGCCCTGCAGCTGCTCTGCACTGTCACCACTGTCCCACAGAACAGCCCAGAGGTGGCGGTGACAGCTGCAGAGATGAAGGGCAGTCCAGCACAGGCTCTGGGCGGCTGCAGCAAGATCTGCCCAGTAGCTGCGACGGGGACGGGCCGCTTTTCCCCTGCGCTGAGCAACAGTTTCTGCTTGGCCACCACCGCTGTTGTTGCTCAGCCTGGGTATGCAAGTCTGGAACAGACATGAGGCACACCGGGCCAGGGCTGTGCACCAGTACTCCAGGGTTAGGGCCAGTGGCAGCAGCAGCTAGAAGGAGCCACCACGGCCTGGGCTGCCTACAAAGGCAGTCCAACCATGGAGCCTCCCCAGCCCCACTGTGTGCCTAGGAGACAGCAGGAAGAGCCACAGCCAGGCAGTGCACAGTGGGCATGGGGCAAGGCTGGGGCTACATGGGCTCCAGGTTGTTGTAGGGTGGGGACACGTGCTGACTGGCTCAGGAGAGGGGAGGGGGCTGGGCCGAGACATGCACACACACATGTACGCAGGGGGCTCCCACGCGCAACCCAGCGTACCCTCAAACCCACAAGCCTTACAACTATACCCTTCCCCCGCCCCCCACACACCACAAACTCCACCCCTGACGTGCTTCTGAGGGTGAGCCCCGCTTACACACATGCCCAGCCACCCTCCCCCTCCACACACCCCACAGCTCCCCCTTCCCACCTACATACACAAATATCCCCACACCCTCCCCCACTCTTACATACGCCTTCAGCCCCCAAACCCCACACCCACCTCCCCCCACACACACCTCCATATACAAAAGTTAGGGTTCATTTTGAGCTACTATGCAATCACCTCTATATACACAAACAAATCAGAACAAGAATATGTTTTAAATACAATTAAAATGCGTAATTATGGATGTTTGATTTTTAGTACATAATTTTTTTTTCCAGTTCCAGGATGGCAAACCCCCTTGCCAAAAGGAGTACTTACAGGGGCAGCAGGAGGGATTTCTGTCAAGGGACGGGGCCACCCTTGCAGCCCTCAACAGCTCACCGAAACTCGTTAAGTGGTCCTCCGACCGAAATGACTGCACACCCCGGTTTAGATTAAGACAAACAGGTCTCCTATTAATTAGGAAATGATATCCGATAATCTCTCTTTTATCCTTTACTGGTAACTAGAGGTAACTACCTGCTACCAAGAATCCCTTACCCAAGTTGCTCAAATGATATACTTGGAATTCTAGGTTAAATTCTCCAATTAAATACAGGTTATCTAACACCACATCCTCAACTCTTTCAGAAACAAGTAATAATTATATTATGTTTTTGGCCACCAGTTTGGTATTGTGGCTACAGCAGTTGGTAACATTATTTTGTTCTGAGTCTGTCACTTTGTCCCTTTCTTTTTAGATTCCAAACCTTTTCCCACCCTTGGTTTCTGTCCAAATATTTTGTACCACACTTGTCAAGCCTTTCCGCTTCAAATTATCTTAAGGTTGACTTTCCCCTTCCGTTTCTTACAATGGGCTTTGTTCTCCTATTAATCACGTATCTGTGTCTCTACTTTGCTTATCTGTGATGACCAAAGACAGATGTTTTAAGACAGGGCAAGGGATTTCCCAGGTGAACTGATGCCCTAAGACTGATAACATGCATGACAAAGCACACAGCACTTACATCACAAGTTTTTGTTAGAGATGGGATGGGATGGGATGGAGTGCACCCTCAGCAAGTTGGCAGATGACAGCAAGCTGGGGGGGAAGGGGGCAGGGGAAGAGTAGATACATCGGAGAGTAGGGCTAGGATTCAGAAACCTTGACAAATTGGAGGACTGGACCAAAATAAATCTTATGGGGTTCAATACGGACAAGTGTAAAGTCCTGCACTTCAGACAGACCAATCCCATGCACAGCCCTGGCCTGGTACAGGCTGGGGACTGAGTAGCTAGGAGGGCAGCTCTGTAGAAAAGGACCTGGGAGTTACAGTGGATGACAAGCTGAAGATGAGTCAACAGCATGCTCCTGAAGACGAAGAGCATACCGGACTGCATTAGTAGGAGTATTACAAACAGAACGATAGAAGTGATTCTTCTCCTCTGTTCAGCACAGGTGAGGCCACATCTCAAGTACTGTGTCCAGTTTTGTGCCCCCCACTACAGAAAGGATGTGGACAAGAAGAGAGGCCAGCAGAGGGCAATGACAATGGTTAGGAGGCTGGGGCACGTGACTACTGAGGAAAGGGAGAGGGAGCTGGGCTTATTTAGTCTGGAGGAGAGAAGACTGAGAGGGGATTTAATAGCAGCCTTCAACTACCTGAAGGGTTGTTCCATAGAAGATGGAGCTGGACTGTTCTCAGTGGTGGCAGGTAACAGAGCAAGGAGCAATAGTTTGAAGTTCCAGCAAAGCAAGTTTAGGTTAGATATGAAGAAAAACTCTCACTAGGAGGGTAGTAAAGCACTGGAACAGGTTACCCAGAGAGGTGGCAGACTCTCCATCCTTGGAGGTTTTTAAGACCCAACTAGACAAAGCCTTGGCTGGGATGATCTATTTAGGGATGGTCCTGCATTGAGCAGGGGGTTGGACTAGATGACCTCCTGAGGTCCCTTCCAACCTTAATTTTCTATGATCCTATGGTTACAGAAACTATAATTCTGGTGATCTTTCAATAAATAAAATCAGCACACATTAAAAATGCTCAATTTCCTATCCACAGCATTTCAGTAAAGGCTCTCTCTACTACCTACAGACAAGGTTCAAATTACACTTTGACTCTTTGGAGGGGTGGGGGGGTCCTAAAAAAAGAGGGCTGCCTATTACAATGCCCTAATAAAATTGGAGACCCTCACCCAGGTTATAATTTTCAAATGTTACAGGGGGGGCTCAGCCTCCCTGAGCTCTCCCATGATTGGAACCCTACCTACCAACAGATTAGCCAGATCACCAAAACTCATTCAGCTTTGAGTTGTCAGTTATCTGCTTGCCTGAATAGTCTTCAATGTATTTACGCTACACTGGAAAATTCCTTTTGCTGAAACCTGTGGCTTTAAAAAAAAAACTATTGCTTTTTTGTAAACAACTAACAGTTAGCTCAAAGTTCTCAAAAAGGAAGTATTTTGATTGTTTTAGGAATCAGTAATATTATTACATTTGACTAACCCAAAATTAAACTAAACACTGACTGAAGTTTTTAAACAACTGAAAAGGTTACTATATTTACTCAAACACAAGATGAGGTTGCCCCCAAATCAACATGGGGAAAGAGAGCCCCTCATCTTACATTCACATACAAGAAAACCTCATAAAATACATTGTCTATCATAAAACTGCTGCCAAAAGCAGTGGAAGCCAACTATGAAGTTGATTAAATGCAGCTAACGCCAAGCAAGACTAAAACACATGGCCTGGGTGGCAAATATGCAGGTGGAAACCTTTGTTTGTGCATTAGTGTGTGGCCCTTTAAAAGAAACAAATGGGCAGTTGCTCCCCAAAGAGGGAACTGGTACCAGGCCTGGAGGTACTACAATACCAGGCCAGCATCAGGAGAGCCGAAGCCAGCCCTGACACTCTCCAAAAATGCTTGATGCCAAAAACGCTTGATCGTAGCCAAAAAGACTATGATCTTTACACATGCTTCCAACATGGTGCTGGGCACTTTTACTGCTAATTAAAAGTGCCTGGTGCTGCGTCAGGTGCAGGTATATAAGTGGCGCAGCACACGTCAGCGCTGAGAAAGTGGCAGCAGTGCACTTCAAAATAAAACACATTGAATGTTTTTTAGTTCAAAGTGCACCACCACCATTTTCTCAGCTCTAACATGCACACAAGTCTTATACACCTGTACCCAATGTAGCACCAGGTGCATCAATTGCATGCTCCAGCAGAGCAGACTTGATTAATCAGAGTCCAGCATGTCAGAGCAGACTTGCCACATGTATGTAGGTACCCAGCCAAGCTGATGGGAACCTATCACAGGGATAGGTTAGTCGGTACAACCCAGTTGAATAAGGTATCTTCTTCTTCAGCAATCCCTCGCAGTCGAGGATGATTGTGTTATCAGGGTGTGCAAACACCCCAAAATTTGCCGTAGCCCCCCCAAACCCATCTCCCAGTGTTGCCACCACCCGCCACAAGCTCAGCCTGGCCAAGCCCCAGGAAGAGCTGGCACCACTCTCAGCCCCAGCCTGCAGCAGCAGCCAGCTCGTCCCACACACAGATCCAGGGCTACACCCCACCCCATGCCCTTCCAGGGTGTGCGGGGCAGGAACGCCCCGCCCCCCGATGAGCCACTCGTGGCTCTGTCCCATGCCCCGCCTTATTGTGCAGTGCCTAACCCTGCCAACTCCCTCCCTCACCTCACTGGGGCCCTGATTTGCTCCCCTCATGCCACTTCCCTCACAGACTTACCAGCCAGACCTGGCTGCTCTCCACAATGTGCACCTGGC